ACTCCTCCCATAGAAAGGTGCGGTCTGTGTCCCTTCCTCTTAAATCTGGGTGCCTCTGTGACTACTTTAACTAGCAGGCCACAGAAGTGACACTGTGCCAGTTTCCAGATTAGCGACTTCTGTCTTTTGGCGCTGTCACTCTGCAGAAGCCAGCTGCTAAGTAAAAAGTCTGAGCTAGTTTCCCTGTTGCTGGCGAGGTCCTTCAGTAAAAGGTATTATAGCAGAATCCTCGTTCCAATCCCAGAGTCAGAGAAGAAGTTGTCAGTATCTCTTTTTAACACATTAAAGAAGTTCCTTTCCAGTTCTAGTTTGCCAAGAGTTTTTTTTTTTATCATGAATGAATTTTAATATTGAGCAAATTTTTTTTCTCCACCCATTGAGAAGATTTTGGGATTTTTTTCCCCTGTACTGGTGATTTGCACTGGTTGATTTCGAGTATGAAACCACCTTTTATTCCTTGACTAAACTCATCATGATCCCGATATATTATCCTCTTAACATATGGCTGGAATATATTTACAATGTTTGTTTAGTATATACTGTGAGATATCAACTCTCCCTAATTGGTATAGAGATTCAGTGCAGTTCTGGTACAAAATTCATCATAAAAAGTTGCTGTGAATATTAACAAGTTGATTCTGAAATTTATATAGAAGTGAAAAGTTAAGGATACTCAGAATAATCTTTAAAAAAATATATACTACAGATAAAAAGTTAGTATGATATTGGTACAAGGATAAATAGAACAAAGGACCAAAATAATCCATAAACAAATGTACACATGACTTAGGACTTATCATTTGACTTATAACAAATATGTCACTGAAGAATGAAGAAAGGGTGGTCTTTTCAGTAAACAGTACAAGGTCACTTGAATATTCATATGGAAGCTAATAAAAACTGAGCCCCTACATTCCACAATTTTAAAAAATCCATCTCAGATGAATTGTTAATCTATCAAAGGCAAAATAATTCAATTTCTAAAAGTTAACATGAGAAAATATCTGTATGACTTTTGGTTAGGTGAAGATTTCTTATATATGACACAAGGTACTAATCATAAAAACAGATTGATAAATCAGGCTGCATTAAAATTAAGAGCGCCGTTCCTCAAAAACACCACTAAGAGATAATAAAAGGAGCCCAACTGGCATGGCTCAGTGGTTGAGCATTGACCTATGAACCAGAAGGTCACGGTTTGATTCCAGGTGAGGGTACATGCCCAGGTTGTAGGCTCAATCGCCATTGGGGGGTGTACAGGAGGCAGCCAATTGATGATTCACTTTCATCATCGATGTCTCTATCTCTCCCTTCCTCTCTGAAATAATTATTAAAAAAAAAGAGAGAGATCATAAAGGGAAAACTAGACAGGGGGAAAACATTTTTAATATGTCTTACCAAAAAGGACTAAAACCCAGAATATGTAATGAACCCATACAAATTAGTAAGAAAGAAGGAGAAACCCAATTAAAAATGAGAAAAAAATCTGAATGAGCACTTCATAAACGATAATATGCAAATACCCAATAAACATACAAATACATTCCCTAGTTCATTCATCATTAGAGTAATGCAATTTAAAGTCACAATGAGATAACATTATGGACTTAAAAGAATGCCTACAATGGAACATACTGATAATGCACTATCAAGATTTGGAACTTTCATATGTGGTTGGTGAGAATGGAACTTGGTTCAACCACTGTGGAAAACTGAATCAACTAAAATGACCATATACATCCTGAAACTCAGTTATTCTACTCTTAGATATATGTCTGATAAAAGTGCATACATTCATACACCTAAACATATATAAGAATTTTCATATAACACTATTCAAAATACCCTCAAGCTGAAAGCAACCCAATTGTACGTCAAGAGTAGAATAGATAAATGTAATATATTCATTTAATAGAAAACAATACATCCATTTTAAAAAGTGAAACACTATGATTCACAACAATGTGGGCAAATCTCACAAACAAGTGAAAGAAGCCATATACAAAGAAATACATTTGCTTGATTCTATTTATATGATAGTCAGAAACAGGTCAAGCTAACCTATGCAATTAGCTATTAGAACAGTGATCAAAGATCAAGAGAGGGAGCTGGGAGCTATAGAGTGCTGTTACTGTTGATCTAGGTCATCGTCATCAAAGGTATGCATTCAATTTGTGAACATTCATTGAACTGTTACTTAAGATGTTTGTCTGTTATACTCCACTTAATAAAATACTTTATTGTAAAAGTATACATATACATGCATGTGGAATTAGGTAGATTTTCTGATATGTATGCACATAAATGTGTGTGAATATGTGGGTGGAGAGAGAGAACAAAAAAAGTTTTCCTAAAAAAGGTGACCTAAAAGAAATAAGGCCAAACCCATAGCAGATTCTTTATCTTCAGTATTTCATCTGGTTGCTTTTCCATACTCAGATTTTTCAAATCAACATCCTTTGCCTTTGAAGACTAGAACTGTAGATATTTCGAGAAGGATTTTGGATTTGATTCAAGACTTTGATTTGATTCAGTTTCATCTTTTTTTTTTCTTTCTGAAAACGCATGCCAATTGTTATTTAAAACTATGATCTATGTTAAATCAAATTAAATCCATAACTTGCAGTGGGCTGTTATATCTTCATTTTTGTAGTATTATTTTTACCTGAATTTAAAAAAATATTTTACTTTATGTAATTTTCCAGATACACTTTTTCTTTCTATACAAGAAAGTTAAAAAACCCCTTCTGATCACGTATAGTCTACTATTTATACCACCTCTAAAAAGTATTGACTATCTGGAACTATTCTTTCTTAAGGCATGCTTTACATTACTAAGAAAAAGGAAACATTGCTCACAGGTAAACTGTTAAACTGCAGACTTATCCAGCTCTTTTAGTGATACTAATATGACTAACGTTGCACAATTTGATAAAGATGACATTTTGTAATAGAACAAATAATGTCTTAGTATTGAAATATTTAACTAACTTGCATTACTCATCATTTATAACCCAAGCTGTCTCTATAGTGCTTATCTTTCTAATGTATTCCTTTCTAGAAATATTACAAACAGACCAAGACAGAGATGGGGCAATCCTTAAAAATAACAGACTGCAGCCCTAGCTGGTTTGGCTCAGTGGATAGAGGGTCAGCCTGCGGACTGAAGGGTCCCGGGTTTGATTCCAGTCAAGGGCTCCATCCCCAATAGTGGGCGTGCAGAAAGCTGCCAATTAATAATTCTCTCTCATCATTGATGTTTCTCTCTCTCTCTCCCTCTCCCTTCCTCTCTGAGATCAATAAAATATATATTTTTAAAAAATAACATATTACTACATACTTCAGGAGGTACAGTAATAATGAGAACATCTTGAATTTATGTTACATTTTCCATTGGGAAGCATACAGAATATACAAATCTTCTACTTTTATATATATGGGGCTCCAAGCTATACAGGATAGACATGAAAATGTTACAGATGAGAATGTTTAAGGGTCTGGCTATGGAGTCAGCCAGATTTGGATTTGAGTACTGGCTCCACAGTTCCTAATCCACTTCTTAGCCAGTCTGTCTAAATCTGTCTCCTTATTTACAAAAGGGAAAATGCCA